GAACTCAAAGGCTTCACAGCTGTTTCCTGGCAACCAGAGGCACAGATTAATCAAAAGCCCCACTCTAAACCTGACTAAGGAAGGCCTCAGGGCCCCTGACCACACCCGGAAGACTTCTCAGGGCTAGAAAGCGAAGAGGCCTATAACTCATTTTAGTTTAACCCAGGTAAGGTCTGCTTCACTCAGCACCTGGCACTCTTTTCACTGCCTAGAGGAAGGTCAGACCTTGTCATACCCCTCTTTTTAAGACTCTTATTCATTCATTCAACAAATATTTACTGAGTGCTTACTTCATACCCGCCACTTGTTTGATGGCTTCCCCTCACACCAAGCAAAATCCAAAGCCAAGTCTCTCCAACTCATCTTAACAAGCCTTGCTTGCACATTAAGGCCTTTTATTCTGTTTTTTTCAACATGCCAAGCTCAGTCCACCAAAGGGCCTTTGCACTCACAGTCCGCCCTCTCTCCTGCCTATGACACTGTAAGGTTGGCTCTTTCCATTATTTGCCTCAGTTGAAATGCCACTTTCTCAGAGAAGCCTTCCCTGGCCACCTCTCCAGACACTGTGTATCATCTCACGCAATTCCCTCCGTAGCACTTACTGCTATCTGAAATTGTCTTATTATTAACTCCTTAACAGCCTTCTGAAGGACAGAGACTGTGTCCATTTTGTTTGCTATCCACGATGGGACACAATAGGCCCTCAGTAAATACCTGTTGAAGAAATGGACAAAAGAATTTTGGGAAGTCCATTTTAAGGCACCTCAAAGCCTGTTCGACATTATCTAAACCATCCCAAGCGCTCTTGGATTCCACTAGACAGCAGCTGACATTTTATCTGGTCACCATAGCTATTTATGAAGCACTCGCTCTTCAACTGTCAGGGTCTCAAGAAGTTAGAACTGGGCAGCTATGAACCCAGATTGTAGGTAGCCACCCGAGTGACTGCAAACAGGGCTGAGCTTCAACGGCACCTTATTGCCGGTTACCACCAGCACACCGGGCCTCTCGTTTCATTACCACTGGGCAGGAGTGTTATTCTGGTGAGAAGTTTCCCCAGCAGTCTGGACTGACTCCGATTCCCTCTTCTGGGAGTGCCTGGGTAATGGTAAATGACTTGACTCAGCACTGTTCCAGCTGAAACCAAAAGCGAGTTAAAAGATTCATGGTCTCCCCCGTGCTGCAAGAAGACCCCATTGTTTTAAATGCAAATGGCAGCTTGTGGTGCGTCACTTCAGTCAGATCCCCTACATTCAATTTCTTTTATTCTCACCCCAACCATCCGACACGTGAGGCTCCTTGAGACCACAGAGGAGCAACATTTGCAAAGAATTCCCCTCCCCCTATTTCCCTTGGATCACCAATTCCCTCCCAACACTGTGGGAAGCTGCTGCTGTGGCCTTAAAATGCCCCAATGATGGCTGTACCCCGGCTCTCCATACACTCTTTACCATCTCACGCAATTGCCTCCGTAGCACTTACTGCTATCTGAAATTGTCTTATTATTAACTCCTTAACAGCCTTCTGAAGGACAGAGACTGTGTCCATTTTGTTTGCTATCCACGATGGGACACAATAGGCCCTCAGTAAATATCTGTTGAATAAACAGACACGAGAATTTTGGGAAGTCCATTTTCGGGCACCTCAAAGCCTGTTCTATGTTATCTAAACCACCCCAAGCGCTCTTGTATTCCACTAGACAGCAGTGTCCAAGTGCAGGCTGGTGTCCCTGCAGGCTCCTAGTGGGGGACACTGTGGCCCTGTTTGCTTCCTCCATCAGAGGTAACCCATCTTCACCCCATCTGAGAGAGCCTCCTTGGCCAACTTCACTGCCAGGCACCTGAGGGTGCAGCCCCACCCAAGAGTTCCCATTTCATTTGTTCATTTCCCTACTCCCATCAGCCACGTATCTGTCCCAATTATCAAAGGAGTGGATGAGAGTGAGCGTCTCCACAGAAAAGACACTTCTAGGATACGCTTCCCTCACTCAATTCGAGAAGGGGAGACTTCTCCTTTACAAGAAACATCTCTGGAACCCGACCTTTTCCCACACACTCATTTCAGGGGCTTCCCTCAGTTGAATCCCCACTCCCGAAGAGATACCCTCGGGGTTCTCAATTCACCAGTTCTTCCTCATCCAATATCAGAGTCTTCCACCAAGGGCCCCACTTGGACCTTGCCCCCTGAAACCTCACTTGGAGCCATCCGTCTGTCTCCTCGAACAGGGAGGGGACTGGTAATGATGGGGTCATTTCACCATCACTGCAATCGGGTCCCTTTGGCATCTGAATCCTTTTCTTCCCTCTCACTTTATTCTGCGGCGATCCCCTTCATTCTCCCCAAATGCAGCCGCTCCAAGGCTCCTCCTCTCTAGTCAGCCCAGGTATTTCCTCAGCTAACCCCATCTCTTACAACTAACGCCGGGGCCGTCCCCTCCACCAATAGGGGATCCTCTCAAGTCACCCCCTCAGGATCCCGTTTCCTCCTCCCATCCAGCCGAAGGGGCTTCTCTGATGTCCCCTCCAGACATCCCCAGGCCCCGCTCAGCCGCACCCCTGGCACCCAGTACGGGACGTCCATCCGCTGTGGGGCGCCTCCCTCTCTAGGGGACCCCTCTATCGCCTCTAAGGAATCGCCAGCCCCGGTATCCTCAGGAGTGCCTCGGAGCTCGCTCCTCACCCACTCCGGCTCCCCCCCGGCAGCGCAGCGGGGCCCTCACGCCTCCCGGGGGAGCCTCAGGGCCTCGCCGCGCCGCCCACAGGCCCCTCAGGCCCCCGCCCGTGCTTCCGGCCACCGCCTGCTCCTCCTCCCCGGGTCAGGCCGCCGCGCGGGTGGCTGTCGCGGAGCCCAGCGGACAGAGGCGGCGCGGGGACCCTGGCCCCGCCGCAAGAGCCTTTGAGAGTCCCCGGCCCCCGGCCCAAGCCCGCGCCCCCTCGGCCGGCCGAGCCCGGCGCCCCCGCTCACCCGAGCCCGTGGTGGCTGCCATCTTGCGTCGCTGTCGCTTGAAGGCCGGCCCCTTCTTCACCCCCCGCCGTCCCCTGTCCTGACGCGCAGGCGCGCGGGCACGCACGGACGCCGCCGCTGACGCCCGCTCCCGGGACCGGCGCGACCCGCGGCCGGGGAGGCTCTTCTCCTTCCCTTTTAGAGAGAGGAAGTGTCTGCGTGCTCCGGGGCTCGGCCACCTGCGAGCCCCCCCAGATCGGCTGCGAGGGAGGTACTGACGTTCTGATGAGAAGGGCAGGGGTGACGAGGCTTGGGAAGGCGCGATGGTGGAAGAAAAAGAAAAGATCGCTTCAAAAACAAAAGCGCTGAATTCGCTTGGGGTTTTTCCTATGTAGTTCCTATCTAGATCCTCACCACAGCTCCACAAGTTCAGGATTCATGTGAAAAATGAAGCCGAGAAAAAGCGATTTATCTAAACCCAGCTGTTAAGTGGCAGAGACAGACCGAATTTGAACCTCCGGGTTCGGATTTGAATTTGAATCACCACCTTCCCGGTCAGATGATCCTGCTTCTAAGATTGATGCTCCCTGGCCAGAGAAGGCTTGGAGTGGTGCAGCTAAATGATTTAGGGACGTTAAGATGGCAGGGAAAGCATTTGCTAACCATCGACACAATCCATTCATTCATTCAGCCAACCAAACACAAATATTAAACACTATGTACCAGACACTGTGCTAGGCGCTGGGGATGGATAGACATCTCTGAAGAGCCAAATCTTTGCTTTCAGGGGCTTACATTCTAGTCGTAGACAGACAGCAAGTAAACAAACAGGAAAGCATAAGTCTGATAGAGAATAAACCAAGAAAAGAGCAGCAGCAGATGGTCAGGAAGGGCCTCCTAAAGTGGTCATATTTCAACAGAGACCCTAACAATGAGGAGATAGAGGGAACAGCTTGTGCAAAGGCCCTCAGGAAACGTATCTGCAAATAAATGATAAACCCAAGAAGTTACTCCTCCTTTATTAGAAATTGTCTCTGAGAAGCCCTTATATGGATATAGACACTGAGGCTGAAAGAAGTGAAGGGACAGGCTTAAGGTCACAGAGCAAAATATTGGCAGAAGGACCAGGACTCTCGCTATAGAGGGACAAGGAAGCTGGAAGTCCTCACCCAGCTCATCCAATTCGTCACCTTTTTCTGACAACAAGGCCCACTCAGCATCTCTCCACTCCGTTCACTTCTTCACTCAGGGCAAGCTGGAAGAGCCCAGCAGCCTCCATTCTCTCCTCCATGGTCCATTCTCCCTATGGCAGCCAACATCTGCTCAGAACACCCTCCAACTAAACCTTCAATGGCTTCCCATTCCCTCTGGATAAACTACAAACTGCAAGTTGAGTGACCATAGAATTATCACCTAATGAGGTGACTCATCAGATTAAAAGAGGACCGATTATAATCTCACCAGGAAAAGTGGAAACCAGGGCTCTCCAGGGCAAACCAGGATGCCTGGACACATGTGCACAAGGCTCTGCACCCAGGGCTGGGACTAGGATGGGGCCATCAGATTTAAGGAGGCTTTCACTCCGGTCCTAACTCTGCACTTACACAACCCTGCAGGTGAGTGCCTTCTTAAAATCTGCACCCCAGGGCTGGGCATGGTGGCTCAGGCCTGTAATCCCTGCACTCTGGGAGGTGGAGGCGAGTGGATCACCTGAGGTCAGAAGTTCGGGAGTGCAAGGCCCCTGAACACATGCCCTCTCCCACTTCAGGGGCTTTGTCTGTGTTGTTCCCACTCTTCAGTTCTCAGATCCAGGACCACCCCCTCAGGGAAGCCTTCCTCGATTCCTCCAACCACATCAAATTCAGCTATAATTAGCTCTCAAAGTGCCAGGTGTTCCTCGTTGCCAGCACTGGCTATAAGTGAAGCAACTTGACTTTTCGGGTATCACGTGATACAAGTTTGCTTTGGGGAGCACAGAAAATACTTGCCCTGGACTTGAGGTCACTGTAAAGCATCGGTAGCAAGTGGAAGCATTTGGTTTCCTAAGGTGGACTCACCTTTGCAGTGAAATTTTCTGGGTTCAAGCCTTCCTTCATCACTCATTTTGCTTTGTGACTTCAGGTAAGACGCTTGAACCTCTCCTGGCATCAGTTTCCCCTTCTATGAGGATAGTAGTATCAACCTCATGGGATTTCTGTGGATATAAAATACTTTCCTAAAACTCCTTGGCACAGGGAGGAGGAAGGGACACCAGAAGAGCTGATATTTATCAAGCTGTTACATCCAGCTTTTAATCCTCACAACTTGATGCAGCAACTCCTAGGAATATCCCCATTTTAGAGATGAGAAAGCGGAGACAAAAGCTAACAGGTGGAGGATGAGGATTAAAACACAAGCCTTTTATCCATGATGCCCGTAAATGTTTACTCGCACGAATTCTTTGGCTCTTGTAGAAAACTTCTTGCAAGTAAAATTGACAATAAGAATTTCAGCGCAGACCGCATCGCAGGAAGCAGAGGTTAGGCGGGACAGTCCGAGGCATTCTGGTTATTGTAGTCTAGCGGTGACGCGATGCCTGCTGCAAATTGTAGTATATCCTGCGCACACGCTCCCTCGGAGAAGTTCCGCCCCGTCCCTGGACGTCACAGCCGGTCCCCAGAGCGGGAGTCCTCCTGGCGCCTGCACCTGATCTCTGCTCTGCGCTTGAGCTGATAAACTCCGCTGATCGGGATAAGAGTCCTGTTTTATCGGATTTTGGGGAAGATTAAAATGGTTAATAGAACGAGAGAATTTAGAAGAGGGCTTGACACTAAGTGTAATATAAGTATTAGCCACCATTATTACTTAATCCTCAGTGACCCTTGCAAAGTAGCTGTTATTTCCATTTGTGAGATGAGAAAACTGAGGCACAGAGGAGCTAGCTGGCTTTTCCAAGGTAACACAACAAGGAAGGAGTAAAATCAGTTTTGGAATCCAATTCTTTTTACCCTGTGTCACCTGCTGGCTCCCCTGTGAGGAGGGAAGCGGAGCCTAGGTTTTAAGCAAAATGTGGGCAGGTTTATGTTTTTACAAAGTGCATCCTGGTTGTCAGGAGGAGACAGGGCGAGGACACCCAACTGAAAAGCAGCAATATTGGTGGCAGGGAACCCACAGCGGTGTGTTGGGTACCGTTTACTGCCAGTCCGGTCACCATGTCCCCACATAGCAGGGTGGGTGTTTGGAAACTTTCCCTCCTTTGGCTTACGCCTGTAATCCCAGCGCTGTGGGAGGCCGAGGCGGGCAGATCACCTGAGGTTGGGAGTTCGAGACCCGCTCGGCCAACATGGAGAAACCCCATCTCTACTAAAAATACAAGAATTAGCCAGGCGTGGCGGCAGGCGCCTATAATTCCAGCTACTCAGGAGGCTGAGGCACAAGACCCGCTTGAAGCAGGAAGGCAGAGGTAGCAGTGAGCCGAGATCGCCCCACTGCACTCCAGCCTGGACAGAGCGAGACTCCGTCTCAAAACAAAACAAACAAGCTGAAGAAAAAGCCTATTTTTGATCCCTTCCTGAGGCTGTGATGGTTGGGGCTGCCTGGGTGATGTGGCTGAGCTGCTGAAGGGATCGCGGGCCGCCCACCTGCAGACTTCTGAAGACGTGAGATAATGTGCCTGTTAACTTAAGCTGTTCTTAAAGGTAGGTTTTTGCTACCTACCGCAGAAAGCATACCTAATAGATACAGGAAGCTGATGCGGTGGTTCAGTGGAGAGACAAATAGACCTGATTGTTCTGCAGTGTTCATTTATGAACTCTGTTCTCAAGTGGGAAAACAATCGGGCTGGTTTGGAATCTCTGGGATGTAAAAGGCACGAATAGACTTAGAAAAAGTATATTTGAAGGTTGAAAAAAAAAATTATATATAATGTTATCCACAACCTTGATATTTCCTATTTATAGTTAAGGGAAAACCCCAACCTTGTGCTACAGTTTTTATAACACAAGCTACAGAAAGTAAAGCTGACAAACTGTTGACAGGAAGGGCTGTGGACTTGCTGAACACAGGAAAATCCCTGGGAAGGGATGTGTGGTTAACAGGATGTGCGATGAGGCTGGGCGCAGTGGCTCACACCTGTAATCCCAGCACTCTGGGGGGCTGAGGCAGGTGGTTCACCTGAGGTCAGGAGCTTGAGACAAGCCTGGCCAACATGGCGAAACCCTGTCTCTACTAAAAATACAAAACTTAGCTGGGTGCAGTGGCATATGCCTGTAATCTCAGCTACTTGGGAGGCTGAAGCAGGAGAATCGCCTGAACCTGGGAAGCGGAGGTTGCCATCACTGCACTCCAGCCTGGGCAGCAGATCGAGACTCCATCTCAAAAGAACCAAAACAAAACAAAACAGGGTGTGTGATACATTTGCTGGTGAAATTCTGTGGCACATATGTGGAGTCATGGCTCCCTAAGGTGTGTCTAGCCATTGCATTGAGACATCTTATTTAATGTCTGATGTAGTTTCTGAAATATATAGTCAAAAAGAAGTGGGAGTGGGTGGGCAGGGGGTCTTTAGTACACTTCAATAACTCACTCTATCAGTGGACATCTGAGTTGTTTCCACTGGCTTCTTCTGATACACTTTTTGTAATATCTGAATTTTGCATTATATGTTACTTTTGTGGTCAGGGAAAAAGGAATGAAAACTAGGGGTTTGGGGCAGAAACAAAAAAGATGTTTCCTCAACTTATAAAGAGCCCTTGCGCTGGGCGCAGTGGCTCACGCCTGTAACCCCAGTACTTTGGGAGGCCGAGGCGGGTGGATCACAAGGTCAAGAGATCAAGACCATCCTGGTCAACATGGTGAAACTCCGTCTCTACTAAAAATACAAAAAATTAGCTGGGCATGGTGGCGTGTGCCTGTAATCCCAGCTACTCAGGAGGCTGAGGCAGGAGAATTGCCTGAACCCAGGAGGCGGAGGTTGCGGTGAGCCAAGATTGCGCCATTGCACTCCAGCCTGGGTAACAAGAGCGAAACGCCGTTTCAAAAAAAAAAAAAAAAAAAAGCCCTTGCAACTCATTAAGAAAAAATAACTTGGGCCAGGCGCAGTGGCTCACGCCTGTAATCCCAGAACTTTGGGAGGACAAGGTGGGTGGATCACGAGGTCAGGAGTTCAAGACCAGCCTGGCCAACATGGTGAAACCCTGTCTCTACTAAAAATACAAAAATTAGCTGGGCGTGGTGGCATGTGCCAGTACTCCCAGCTACTCGGGAGGCTGAGGCAGGAGAATCGCTTGAACCCGGGAAGCAGAAGAAGTTGCAGTGAGCCGAGATCGCACCACTGCAGAGTAAGACTCTGTCTCAAAAAAAAAAAAAGAACTCGAAAGATAGTCATAGCAAATATTTATTGAGCATTTGCTATATTCTAAGAACATGGTATTTTGCATATACTAATGTATTTAATCTTCACACCTATCCTATGAGGTAGGTACCATTATTATCCCCATTTTACAGATGAGACACAGAATGGTTAAGTAACTTGCCCAAAGTCACAAGCTTGTAAGTGGCAGAACTGGGATTTGAACCCTACTCTGTTAACCACTACTACCCTGTCTTCCAAGAAAAACAGGAAGAGGACATGAACAGATGAAGAAATGCAAATGCCTTTTAAACTCACTCAATATATTGTATTTTAGCGATTCTAAGATACACATTTTTACATTTAAACATCTCTGAAATCAGGATGCATCTTAGAATCAGTGACATCTCGGATTCAATGAAATACAGTAAGAGAAATGCAAATTACAACCACCTATCAGATTGGCAAAGGACAAAACATTTGATCACACACTGGGTTGACAAGGGTGTGAGGAAACAGGGACTCTGAAAATTGTGAACTTAAATGGGCATGGCCTCTGTGGAAGACAATTTGGTATGCACTATCGAAATGTAAAACACATTCAGCCAGGTGTGGTGGTGTTAACCTGTAATCCCAGCACTTTGGGAGGCTGAGGCGGGAGGACTACTTGAGCACAGGAGTTTGAGACCAGCCTGGGCAACAAAGCAAGACCCTCACCTCTACGAATAATAATAATAAAAAAATTAGCTGAGCATAGTGGCATGCACCTGTAGTCCCAACTACCTGGGATGGGGGGCTAAGGGAGGATGATAGCTTAACCCAGGAGGCAGAGGCTGCAGTGAGCTGGGATTGAACCATTGCACTCTAGCCCGGGCAACAGAGCCAAGACCTTGTCTCAAAAAAAAAAAGAAAAGAAAAGAAAAAAGAAAAGAAAGGTCCATTCCATCCTGAAGTTGGTGGAACACTAAGCAGCTGTAAAAAAATAATAAGAGCCAGGCGTGGTGGCTCAAGCCTGTAATCCCAGCACTTTGGGAGGCCGAGGCGGGTGGATCACGAGGTCGAGAGATCGAGACCATCCTGGTCAACATGGTGAAACCCCGTCTCTACTAAAAATACAAAAAACTAGCTGGGCATGGTGGCGTGTGCCTGTAATCCCAGCTACTCAGGAGGCTGAGGCAGGAGAATTGCCTGAACCCAGGAGGTGGAGGTTGCGGTGAGCCGAGATCGTGCCATTGCACTCCAGCCTGGGTAACAAGGGCGAAACTCCGTCTCAAAAAAAAATAATAATAATAAGAAGAAGAATGATTTTGTGAACATTGATGATAACACTGTCTCCAAAATATATTAAGTGAAAAAAGGCAAGGTGCAGAACCGTGTGCATAATATCCGACATACTGTGTGAAAAGGAATGGGGCAGACACATCCCTCTTCGCCTGCATAACGGACTGCAAGTGTCTTGTCAAAGTGATGGCCTCTAAGGAGGGGAACTAAGTACTTCAGGGAACATGACTGGGAGCAGTTTACTCTTCATTCTAGACCAGGGAGGGGTTGGTAACTTTTCTCTGGAAAGGGCCAGATAGTAAATATTTTAGGCTGTGTGGACCATTTGGTCTCTGATGCAACTATGAACTCTGCTGCTGCACTGCAAAAACAGCCTTGGACGATATGTAAATGAGGGGCAGGGCTGTGTGCCAATTCAGCTTTACAAACTAGAATTTGAATTTCCTGTGTTAGGAAATGTTGTTCCCCGCTTAAAAACTGCTCGTGGCTGGCATGGTGGCTCACACCTGTAATCCCAGTGCTTTCGGAGGCTGAGGTGGGAGGATCACTTGAGGCCAGGAGTTTGAGACAACCCTGGGCAACGTAGCAAGACCCCTTCTCTAAAAAAAAAAATTAGCTGGGTGTGGTGGTGTGCACCTGTAGTTTTAGCTACTGGGTAGGCTGAGGTGGGAGGATCACTTGAGCCCAGGAGTT